CTTTAGCTTTGTGGAAATTTTTATGGTGGCTACTGATAACATTGTTATACCAGCAAGCGTAAATTGCTAATTGTATGTTAATAGAGATCGTCCAAAGTGATCCACAGAGATTTCTACCCCCTCAGTTTCACAGAGCTTTATGGTTTTTCAGATCATATTTTTAATTGATTTCTCACCAGCAGCTCTAATGTTTTGGTTTCTCTGTCAATACTGCCTTTAAAACCATCAAGCAAACCTTACTGTGACAGCAATGTCGTCCTTGGCCAAAAAATTATGTGTGACAGCAACCTTACGGATTTATAATATTTACATTCAACAATCACATAAAGCCCTCTGAGCAAGCACTTGGTGAGAGTGGGGAGGAAAAACTCCCTTTTAACAGGAAAAAATCTCCAGCAGAACCAGGCTCAGGGAGGGAGGGGATAACCAGAGGGGGCGCTTTAGCACTGCTCCATTATACAGCTTGTGAAATATTTCATATGTTCCGATGATTATGGCTTATAACTCATGAAAATCAGAATTTCACAAACTACAGAAACTTCGCACTGGACTTCAAATTACTGGAATATTTCCCAAGATTATTTATTTGTTATATTTTTAATTATTATATTTATATATTTCCAAAGGCTTTAAAACAGAGATATACCCAGCTAATGGAAAGTATGTACATTTATGTAACCCCATTTCTATAAAAGGAGGAACATTGAAATGTAAATAAAAACAGTATACAATGATATTTAGATCATAAACATGTTATTCACAATAGAACAGAAGCAACAATACAAATCATATCAGATCTTTAAATTGAGATATTTTGGGACAGAGACAACAAAAGCCTGGAAAAGTAGGTGATGCTAAAGAGGAACAGGTGGAGGAGCAATTTAATGTCAGACGACTGTCTGTCCCTGAGCCTGGTTTCTTCCTGTTAAAGGGGAGTTTTTCCTTTCAACTCTCGCCAAGTGCTTGGTATTGGGGGATTGCCCAGTTGTTGTAGGATCTTTACTTTACAATATAAAGAACCTTGAAGCAACTGAGGCTGTACAAATAAAACTGAAGTAAATTAAATTCTCTGCTTGTCTGACGGTGGTGTTTGCAGTGGGTAGTATTTGCCATCATGACTGAGACTGCTGTGCCAGTTAATGAGGTCTGGCCACTGTTCCTGTTCATTCATGTAGATAATAATGCTTATAAAGCTGGATACAGACTGCGATTTCACCACAACATAACAAAGAAGACCCCGGACTGTTGAGCAGTATACTATAATGACAAAAATGAGACAACATTCCTCACCTAAAGGTCCAGCCACTGGTCTCCTCACTTCCATGCTGTTTACAGACTGGTGTTAAAAGAAGACTGGATTTAAACCATTTGTAGTACTGCTCAGGTGTTACAGATGCCCAAGTTGCTTGATAGTAGCCTCATTTTTATGTTGGGTTTGGCATTTCTCAGTTTCTTCTTGAAAATAACCTACAGATTCCCTAGGAGGTTCAGGTCAGGGCAGTCAGTTAGCTAATCAAGCTCAGGAATAACAATTAGTAGTACTTTTGGCACTGTGTGCAGGTGGTAAGTCCTGCCGGACAAGGAATTCAGCATTTCCAGAAAGATTTTCAGCAGATAGAAGCATGGAGCACTGTAAATCCCATGGCAGAAAGCCATGATGACTTTGGACTTCATAAAGAAATCGAGGACCAACCACGACCACAAGCACCAGCAGATGGAATTATCACAGACAAATTATCACAGAATACAAAAGCTTCACACTGGACTTTAAAAATCATGAATTCTGTGCTTTTCAACTCTTCCTCTGGGCTCTAGGACCTTGATTTCCAAATGAAATGCAAAAATTGAACCACAAACCTTCCCATTAATAGATATCCTGCTTTACCTCCTGAGCTCCAACCGCCCCATGTTTTATGAATGCAACAGTTGTAGCTCCTTTCCCGAATGATGTACCGACATCAGTCTTTTGAAGCACTCTCAAGCACTCCTCTTGACAATCCTCTCAAGGCTGTGGTCAGCCCTGTTGCTCACGTATCTTTTCCTATTACGCTTTTCCCTCCCAGTTAACTTTCCATTAATATGCTTTGTTACAACACTCTGTGAACAGCCAGCCTTTTTAGCAATGACCTGACAAGTTAGCAATCGTCCCAATGATTGTGTTTGCATGTAATGAAATTTACCCTGTTTGAACAGCAAAATACTCAAAATTAAAATTAAATATTCTAATAAATTCTCATCTATATCTTGTATCTTGGTGTACTCCGTCTCTCGCCCTATGACAGCTGGGATAGGCTCCAGTGCCCCCTGCAACTCTAAAAAGGATAAGCGGAAGCGAATGGATGGATGGATGGATCTTGTATTTATTCTTACTAACACACTGGAAATTTTTAAAAAGTATGTTTTTCCTATGTCGAAATATTTCCTTGAATGTGCCACAAAAACCAAAACGGACAACAAACCAAAGTCGAGTGACTGGCACGTGATCAAGGCTTTGCTGGGTTTTCTAATTCCAGCAGCAGTAGCTGCATCCTCTCTCAGGTGGCCTCTCATCTTATTAAGGTGCCCAAGGAATAATTACCTCTAAATTAATTGGGAGGGAAGAACAATGCACTTCAGAGCGGACTGCTCTTGTGTCATCCATTATGTATAGGTCCTCTGATGGCTTTGAAGTGATCATCACATTGGTGTATTTTTCTAACACAGTCTTGTGAAGTCTCTATTATGGCCTGTGGCTGTATCTCTGTCTCGGCACATCAAGGTGAGCGGAGAGAGTGCACTCCCTTGTGGCCCTGGCTATTACAATGTACAGAAAGAACTCAATTCAAAAACACCACCAATAGAACATGGCAGAAATACTGAGATTTAATCAGAGTCCATCACACTCAAAGCACTGAATGCAACCAATTAATGGAAGGCTGAATTAATGGTTTTAATGGAGGGCTGAAAGAGCAAAATGCTAATTTCTACCCATCAGCCTCCACATATTGTTAGAAATGCATTCAGAGCTTTTGTTTTGTTGTAAACCTCTAAGCGAGAATGCATTCCAGATTTTGCTTTTAGCTTTTGCAGCCTACAATTAAGCGCGCACTGTAACAGACCAACTCATTTGTTTCTCATGGTAATAACCACAGCAGCAATCTACATTTCAGGGGTCATACCACATTTTAGTCAGGGGGCAAATTACAGCGGTCATCAAAACTGGATGCAAATTCTTTCCTTACACAGTTTTTATAATTTGCTAAATTTTATTGGAGTCAAACAACACAAACCACTCAAAGTTTGTAAGTTCATTTGTGCTGCAGACATTAAAAGGACTAAAAAGCTTGCTTGTTTTGTCATTGTTTGATTTCGCAAACATTTAAGGAACTTTTCACTACTGATAAGGCGAGCCCTGTGCCTTGTACCATCTGTAAAATGCATGGTTTAAACTGTTATATGAGTGCCCTGACCAGACAGATGCCAAGTGCATCTTCCATCAAGTGTTTACTGTGCTTGATGGAAACTTGGAGGCTGTAAACTTCTTGTATCTTTTACATATTTACAAACTGATGATGTACAGTCAGCTTGCAATACAGTTTCACTGCTCTCCACACGATTTGGCAAAACATTTTTCTCCATTTATATTTCCTCATCTTTGCACCATTCACAGGAGATGTGAGTATGTTGGGTTTTTAACAAGTGTCAACATTGTGTTATTGTGTTCAACATGTCTATAGACCTTAGAGAGTGTGATATATAGATATATATCTATATGTAGCTTCTATATATTTCATATATACCATGTGACCGTTTACAACCATATATATTTATTTCCAATTAGTGCACTTCACTCTCTGACTGCAGGCTTCCTTGTGGAGTATTTAAAAGTAGAATGGGAGACAGAGCCTTCAGCTTTCATGCCCCTCTTCCCAGGAACCATCTCCCTGGTTGGGTTTGGGAGTCAGACACCGTCTCTGCTTTAAGATTAGGTTTAAAAGTTTCCTTTTTAGTAGAGCTTTTAGTTAGAGGTGGATCAGGTGACACAGAATCCTCCGTAGGTTACACTGCCATAGGCCTAGGCTGCCTGGGTCTTTCCCTGATGTGTTTCTTCTTCACTCAGCTCTTTTCACTCTCTATGCATTTATACACCACTTTACATTTAATCATTATTAATAATCTCTGGCTCTCTTCCACAGTGTATATTTGCTCCTGTCTCCCTCCCTTCACCCCCAGCTGGTCACAGCAGATGGCTGCTCCGCCCTGAGCCTGGTTCTTCCACAGGTTTCTTCCTGTTAAAAAGGGATTTTTTCCTCCCCACTGTGGCCAAGTGCTTGCTTGTTTATTGTTGGGGTTATCTCTGTATTTTTTTAGCTGGATCTTTACCTTACAATATAAATGCCGTGAACATTGTTGTGATTTAAGGCTATATAAATAGCACTGAATTGTACTGAACTATGATTTTAACATTGCTGACAGAATATACAAAGGCAATGAGTTAAATTTTGGAAACCTAGACAGTGTTATTTATTTAATGAGTCCTTTATAGGTTTTTCACCTGCCCATTTTCATATTGATTTAATATAATAATGCAATATTTATGCTTGTACTTTGGTTGAAAAACATGACTTCAGACTTCAATTAAACTTTGATGCTGGAACATAAAATACAAACTTAAAACCATTAAAATTTAAAATGTCTTTTATCCAGTAGTTTCTATGCAGATGGTTTGCAGCTCTGTGAAATATAATTTTACTTTACTTTCTTCACCCCCGAAAACAAAAAGAGGAGCTCCTGCCCACTGTGTTGCTTACTGGTGAAATATTCCCCTAGTGGGAGTAACCCCCCACAGAGGGACAAAAGGACCCCCTTGTCCCTCTGTGGGGGGTTACTCCCACTAGGTTTATATCTGGGACTCTCCACCATTTGACCTTAGAACTGAAGAAGCTTCTCGGATGAGAGGTGAAACGTCTTCAAGCAACTTAAAGAAGTCCAGACGCTTTTCTTTGCAAGCTCCTTTGACTACGATGACCTGGATGACTGAGAACCTTCACAGGCATATTCATGTGATTATAAGCACGCAGAGCAGTTTTTGTTTTGTTTTTTCAAAATATTTTACGTGATCACTTCCTCCAGCATGATTCTCCCAATCCTCTTTGCTGAATCTGTTGTGTTGCACTGTAAACAGTGTCCTTCTGTTGTACTGTCAGAAACAGTCATTTTATTATGCATTAGCCTGTTTTATGCTTAATTTTCCACATTTTCTCCATCCAGTATCAACATTGTAGCCATTGTCATCACCCACTGACTTTAGAATCGTAGTTTCGAAGCCTTGATTTGACATCTTCCTTTTGTTTTGTTTTTTTAAACAAGTAGTGGTCATTTCTGTCTCAAATGCAGAGTCCCAAGTTGTCAGCTTATCCTAGCTAGCTTGTATAGCAAGGAGCATTTGGGTGTACTGCAGAAAAACAGCTACCCTGCTAGAAAGTGTTAAACAACATACATCTAAAATATTAAAATGTCAGTCACCAAAGCTGAAGCATAGACACCTTGGACAGTTAGTTAGTCCAGTTAAACACACAGTCATCAATGCTACTTGTCAGATAATAACTTACCCCATCAGAAACACTGTCAAGCGGTACATCGGTGACTCAGATTAGCTGATGTGATGCCTTGTGGACACACAGCAGACTAGCTGAGACCCACTTATCAATAAAAGCAGCCCCTAATTTGGAATAACTGCAAGACTTAACATGGGTTGGATTGGTGCATGCAGTGTTGCATGTACTGACACAGAATTGTGTTTCAAGCTTTTCACGCCGCATATTTCCCAGGAAAAAGTCCTTCCACAGAGTACAGTGGACGCATGCTTTCCTAAACCTGTTTATTATCTCAGCGAATGTGACATTGTATAATCTATTGATCTGTATCTTGACTCATTCAAAATTTCAAAAGGCCCATTGAATTGTGTCAGTCATTTCTATGTCACACTTCTCCTGTGGTTTTAGTGTAGTTTTGGTGCAAGCCCCGATAATTGGATTCTCTAACATCAGTGTGTCCGCGCTGCCAGAGAGGTGTGGGGAAATTAAAGTCTTCCTTGTGCAGTGAATCAATACAAAAACAATCCCCCATCACTGTTAAAATGTGTGACATGCACAGAAAAGCAATTAACCCACTGTGGGAATTGATTTGGTCCACTTCAGCTTATCTCTTTTTTGGCATAACCAAGTTTTTACATACCCGCTGGGAAGATCAAAAGTTTTTCTTGTTTCAAAACCTGACAACATCGCCGGATTAGCACTGATTTTATCTTCACCAAGCAATTACCTGCTATGGTAATCAATGCAGGGCTGCTGGCTTTAATAGTCTGTGATATCGCCGCCTCTGCAGGCTTGCGCAAATTGCAGTGATTCATCACAGTGCCGCACTGCACTGCTAGCAATGCTGAATCAATTCACACATACTGTACACGCACACACATACGCCCGCACTGTGTCGTTGCTACTACACTGGCTGCTAACTAGCTCTCTATTCTGGCGGAAAGGTTGCATAGAGAAGCTTATTTTTAAAGGAAGTCTTTCATCAAGATGATTTCCGCCAGGAAACGAATTAAAAGCAAGAATGCCGGCATTCACAAGCATTCTGCTTCACACCAGAGGAGCCACAGACACGTAAACACAAGCTGCCAACAGTTGTAAACTGTCTTGGCGAGTAGGCTGTTTATAATTATTATCATAGAGACTGTGTTGACAGATTTGGCACCATGTTCCTTGGCACAGCCTCAGAAGCAGTCAAACATAAAGGTGGATGTACTTAAGTCTTTGTTGAATAGAGTAAAATTAGAGACTTTATATACAGTTGAGGACTAGCAGCCTTATGGCTCAGTAACACTAGAGTAAAAATAGGATACAACCTACATGTGAATAAGAATCTCTGAGTGACCACTTTTGATTGCAAGGTGACTGCATAGGTCGCCTGATGGGAGGCAGCCTATCACCAAAGAATCACGGTGTTATGGTCCAGTCAGTTTGGAGGTTTTGTATTGTTTTTCCCCCTTCTGCTCGTCCGAAGAATCCGTTTCTGAGTCTCGGGTGGAGATGTAGGCAGGTGCTCCCTGGATCTGCCTGTGGGTGGAGTCTTCCTGTTTGGCTTGTGCTTCTCACATATATGGTTGTAAACAGTCACATGGTTATCTGCTAGTGTTCACTAACCCCAAGTCTCTGACAGCTTCCTAGTGATCTGCTCAAGCTCAGGTTGAGAAACCTGTTCCTTTGAGGAATTTAATCTGAATCCATGTCTGGAATCCTGAACCAACAAAGAGAAGGACATCGTTTTAACTCACCTGCCTTCTCACTCTTGGACACCTGCAATTAAAACTGCACAATCTGACTTGCAAAATTCAAAGACCTGCTTATACTTACCTTAGCCTCAAATTCTGCCTCTTCTACAGTGCTTCTCTTTGCATTTCTGCAGTGAGTCCCAACTCTCAAGTTCCATCTTGGTGTGTCAAAAAGTCGAGACTGAAGAAGTCACTTGGATGAGTGATGAAACATTGCTTACACATGAAAAGAATCAACATTTTGGGATTTCCTTACCTGGATGATTGAGCATGCATCAAGACATTCCTGGTGTGCTGAGTCTGAATCCAGAGTCCTACATTTGTTAAATATGAAACAGCATCTGATTTGGCCCGACTGCAGTCACTCTCAGACAGAATGACAAAGGTCTGCAAAATGTTCTGTCTAAATTTTTTGAATGCAGACAGATTGCCAAGACATTGTAATCAATCTGAGTCAGTCTGAGCTATTGGGCACAATTTATCAGTAGCAGATTTCTCTTTGCAGCAGGAGACTCAGATCAGATGGTTGCCAACTGGTTGTATTCTGATTATATTCCTACGTTAAAGCAAGGCTGCAGAGCGCTTATGTCATTCTGCAATTACTACGTCACTACTCTGAATCTAAGTAGTTCATATGAATGTGCTCTGAAGATGGCAACTGACTGTGAATAATCACAGGCCAGGTCCTCATCTTTGAAGCTACAAAGGCAACAGTATTGCACATTCATTGCACACAGTTGCAATAATTCTGGTCATGCCACAATCTGCAACCGCTATTTGCCCTAGTATCACTGTAGCATTACAAAGCCTAATAAACCCCAAGAGGAACATACTGATTGTTCTTTTTTACTTTCCCTTCATACAGACACATGAGCTTAGGAGAAAGAACAACGGCAGCCTGTTTCTATCTGGCCAGTTCCTACAAATGTTGCATCTCAAAACAAACTGCAGTTCAGCAGTTTTCAACAGGAAAGTGTGGAGACAGGAAAAGTCAAAACAGGAAAACAGACAAGCTGGATGCATAGTGGGGGAAATAAGAGGGAGGAACAGAGAGCAGTGCTGTACTTCCCCTTTTAATGTCAAAACTTAAAAAGAGTTATTCTTGAACCAGTGATGGTTTTAGCATGAAACTGAAAACAGGAGATAGCAATATGACAAAAGGCTAGTAGATTATTAATGAATTGAAATTAAGGAATGCCAGCCATAGTCGGTATGGAAATGGATAAAGCCAAAGCTTTATCTTTTGAACGATTGCTTTATTTTTTTTATTTATTTATGGTGTTTTATGTCATATTCGTTCTCAAATAGAGGAATGCTTTCCTAACATGCATCCATTTATGAGATTATCCAAAGCATTTTTCGCACAAAAATCAAATTTTACACTGACACACACACGCACGCAAAGAAGCACAACTAGGTCTTCCTGCTGAAAAAAACTGTGGCAACTGTAATGTTAAAATCACACCATACAAATCACTTTTTTTGTTCTTCTTTTGATCAACTAAAAAGGACGTGGCTGGTGTCCTTCAAACTGCCAGTGCTTGTGTAAGGGAGCAATGGTAAAATAAATAAATAAATAAATAAAATATGTACTGAAAAACAGCGTAAAACAAGGTCAATCTTAAAACATGATAAAAGACCTTTATATTGCATGGATAACAAGATTAAAAATACACTAGTGCATACTGGCTTGTGCCTTCTTCACAATTCAGAGATACAACGACACAAACATAGGATGGTGTGCAACACTAGTTACATGCAAAATTCCTTTAATCTACAGAGCAAGAATGCTGAATTCATTTCATATCAATGGCCACGTACAGCCCAGTTTGATCTTAAGGGAAAGACCAGTGAGCTCCCCTTTTTGTCACTATAAAGACGTTTAATTACACATTGAAACCCTGAGATATCCTAAAATACTGTAAGACAAAGAAGTGCAGTGTCAGCTTCTCCATTTTTTCAAATGATAAAGAAATGCTGCTGCATTAAAGAAAGAAATCTGCCAGCACGACTCTTTGGGCTTAAACCGTAAAAATGTGTAAAAATACAAAGAAAGTCCTGGTAGCTCATTGCCTGGTACCTTTTCTTTTTTATAACGTATTGTAAAAGCATAAGTTTTTTAGTAAATAGTGAAAAGAACAGGAACTTTTCTGTCACTTAATTGTTTACCTATCAGTGAATTATTTTGGTGTAGTATGAGTGACATGTATCAATAGGAAAATGCAGTCAAAAGCCCAAAATGTATGTCCCATTTTTTCAAAGCCATCCTGAGGCTGAGCTGGGGTTTCTGAAAGGCCGATTCTGGGCCCCTGTCCTTATGTTTGACACCCCTGGTCTAGAGGCAATAGTGAGCATGAAATAC